ACCTCCCCTCTTATTCTCTCATTCTTTTTTTTTTCTTCCTTTCTCTCTCACTCTCTCTCTTAAACAATGATTCGATCTTCTGCTAGTTTAATCATAGCTGCACCTCTTCCAAAAGAATTATTAAAGCATAATAGTCTCGGTTGCAATTATCGTATTTTGATGGTCAAGAGGTAGCCATCAAGAATTGATCAATACGCCATAACTAAACATACAGTGTAGAAATGCAAAAAGCAGCTTTATTCATGCCCATGTCTATCCTGGCGGTATTGTTGATAAAGCAGACAGTGAATGGCCACAGACCGAGTAAGAGAGAAAAAGATAATAAAGAAAATAATTGACAGTATGAAATAGAAAATATTCAACCGAAAAAATATGCGCTATCCGAGAAACATTTGAAGAGTCAGGATTATTCGTGTCTGAGCCAAGCATAACTATTCCCGATAGTCAACATTGGCGACACAGAATACATAAAGATGCTAGCCAGTTTCAATCCATGTGTGAGAAGTATAAAGTAGCACCCGCCGTAGACAAGTTGATTCCATTTGCAAATTGGATCACACCAGAACAAGAAAAGAAAAGATATAACACGATATTCTTTTTATCCATATTGAAGCAATATGATACTAAAAGAGAACAAGATGCCTATTTGAACAGCATCATGGCAGATGGCACAGAGACACTGTTATTCGACTGGCTTAAGCCAGAAGAAGCATTGGAGAAATTTGAAAAAAAGGAAATCATTTTGATGCCTCCTCAGTGGTATTCACTCTATACCATGTCCAAATGCAAAGACTATAAGGATTTGGACAAGGTCGGATATGGTATCTTTCGTACAAATCAAGAACTTATCCCAATCTTACCAAAGCCACGACCAAGTGATTTGAAGGATTATCTAGGATATTTAGAGTTTCCAGGCGAGGGACATCGATTGTATTTTAAGAGTGGTAGACCAATGCAGGGCTACAAACTACAATCAAAACTTTAAAAACAAATAAACTCAGTAGATCTTCAGCTACATTGCTCATGTTTTTTCAAGGAACAAAGTTGCGTATGATGTTTAAAATAGTGTACAAAAAGGTTTAATATTTTATATAAATTATTTAATCGAACTTCAAGTTCTATTTAAAACAAGGGAATATCAGTCATCGTGAGTATTACACTTTCTAATAAATATAACTTACGCCAATAACAGACTTGGTGTATTCACTGTTGGATGCACGACCTCCCAAGTCAGCAGTCAAGGCTTTACCTTCAGCAAGAGTCTTGAAAACGGCTTGCTCAATGTTGGAAGCTTGATCATATAAACGCATGTGCTTCAACATCATAATACCGGATAATAATAAAGCAGTAGGGTTGGCCTTATCTTGACCCTATAACAGTCACAGTCAGATATGTATATAGTGTAAATTTCGAAAGGACTTACAGCAATATCAGGTGCAGTACCGTGGACAGCTTCAAAGATGGAAGCGTCACGACCAATGTTACCTGAAGGAGTTAAACCAAGACCACCGATCAAACCAGCACTCATGTCAGACAAGATATCACCGTACAAGTTGGGCATGACCATGACAGTGTCAGCATAGATGGAGGGATCAGAGGTAATCTAATATAAATGAATATACTTGTTTGCATAACGTTTTTTTTTTTTTTTTTTTTGCTCTGCTTACGTGAAGACAAGCACGGTCCAAGAGGACATCGTCAAACTTGATATTGGGGAATTCCTTTGATACTTGCTTACAAACTTCCAAGAAGAGACCATCAGCCAATTTCCTAAAAATCAACAACGGGTCGTCACATTTTCTGCATCCTTTTTTTTTTTGGTTTAAATCTTACATGATGTTGGCCTTGTGAACAGCTGTGACACGGTTACGACCAACGGATTCAGCATAGGTGAAAGCATAACGAGCAACACGTTCGGAAGCTTCGCGAGTAATCAACTTGATGGATTGGACAACACCATCCACAACCTATAATATCAAATGTAGGTCAATTTTATGCTCTCTCTCTCCTTTTGTATAGTACTTTACTTCATGTTCAATACCAGAGTATTCACCTTCTGTGTTTTCACGGATAAGAACAGTGTCTACATTTTCATAAGGTGTCTTGTATCCAGCAACAGAACGGCAAGGACGAACGTTGGCATACAAGTTGAAGGTACGACGAAGGGTCAAGTTGAGTGAGACGTGACCCTTACCGATGGGTGTAGCCAAAGGACCCTTGAGAGCAACGGTGTTACGACGAACACTGGCAATGGCATCCTCGGGGATAGCAGTCTTGCCGTCCTTAAGGACAGGAGTGACATCAACTTCTTCCCATTCAATAGGTGTCTTGGCTGCAGCAAAGATTTCCTTGACTGAACGTGAGATCTCGGGACCAATGCCATCACCAGGAATCAAAGTGACAACGTAATTACCCTATATTGTATTGCGTGTATTGTATTAATAACTGTGTGTATTATTTATGATATCATATCATTATTATTACATTGGCATTCTTTTGAGCAGTAAAGGCTTGTGTAATACTGGGAGTAGCGGTAGTGATAGCACGAATAGAGTTGGCCTAATTTTATTTATTAACCTCTTTTCTTTTTATTATTTATAAACTCTTACTCTAACAGAAGACCAAGCGCTAGCCTTGAGTGCAGCAGAAGAAGTGCGAGATAAAAACATGATGTTTTGGTAAATAGTGGGAAGAAGGAGGGACAAAATCGAAAAAAATAAAAAAAAATTTAGTTTCAATTATTAGGCGGGGGTATGTGATGCTGCTGTCTTTCCAGGGCCAGCAAATAAAAAAAATGTTTCTGTCATCATTTTTTACATGTAGACGAAGAGACTACTTAGTAATACCCTCTTTCTGTTGTTATTGCTATTCATTGGTGTATCTTACAGCTATAATTTGTATCTCTCATCTTGACATTACTTTTGTTTATAATAAAAAGTACATGGAGGCTTGTACGTCATGGGTAAATGGTTTAGTCGTATGTCGGAGAGAAGCTCTTTGGAGTTACGGATAAAATAAAGATGTACACAATTGTTATCAGATGCAATTTATTTTTATAATAAACCCAATATCACTTGTGATTACTTACTGCTAGTCTTTCTCTTAATTGATACACTATTCTCTGAAAAAGATGGGCTGTATTTTTTGATATAAACCAACATAACTCTTTAACATGTGACGTGTAGAAAAGAGTGTTAAGAAGGTACATGCTTAAGGATTCTCAGTGTAAAGAAGACAATTCTAAAAGCCAAGCTTATGATATTACATGACTCGTAAAAGAAAAAAAAGCATAGGCGCCTTTTATTATCATTTATTGACAGAGTGAACAAAAGTGAAAGAAACAACTATGCTTTGCTTATTTGATTCTTGGCAATACAATACAAATGCAACTTGTACAGTTCAAAAGACTATACGCTGTGAGCCATTTCTTTGCTCAGTTAAGCCCCCACCTCCAAGTGTCTGTCTTTAAATCTTGGGCTGTCCAATAAAAATAAAGTCAAGCGGTAGCACTATAGGCAATTACAATCCTCAACTGGATAAACCCTCCCTTCTCTTTTAGAAAACCGAAATGGTAAGTAAAAAAATAAGCTCAAAGGACACATTAAAGTAGAAATGAAGTGAAGAGAAGGAGTGAGAGAAGATATGAGTATAAAGATAGATGGATGAATGAATTAATGGATGGATGGATGTTTAAAGAAGGGAAAAAGAAGCGATAGATACAAACAGAGAGTCATCACTCATTTATGCACATGTTTAATAAATGCAGCAAGATAATTTCGATTGGACAATAAACAAGCATTGAACAAGAAAGAAGTAAAGACACAACGATAGCAATGGTCTTCTCCACTCTCTCTTTTCTTTGTTTTTATGTGTCAATGGATCATTCAGACTGAACTAAAGATCTTTATAGCCTACCAGACTTCACCATAACAGAAAGAAGCGTGGACACGTCTCAGCCGGTCACGGTCGTATTGGCAAGCACAGAAAGCATCCTGGTGGTCGTGGTCTTGCTGGTGGTCAACACCATCACCGTACCAACATGGACAAGTACCATCCTGGTTACTTTGGTAAGGTCGGTATGCGTCACTTCCACTTGAAGAAGAACCCTCTCTGGCGACCTGTCATCAACCTTGACAAAATCTGGACTCTTGCTGGTGAAGGTGTTCGTGAGAAGTACAAGAACACTGAAAAGGTTCCTGTCATTGATACTCTTCAACATGTAAGATTTGTATAATCATATTAGATATACATATACTCATGTCAATAACAATAGGGTTATGCCAAGGTTTTGGCCAAGGGTACCATCAGCCAACCTGTCATTGTCCGTACTCGTTATGTTTCTGCCCTCGCTGAAAAGAAGATCAAGGAAGCTGGCGGTGTTGTCGAACTCATTGCTTAAAGTGTTTAATAAACATTTACTGTATATCATATTGACTCTGTCGACTACACATACACACACACATGCGATCCCAGAAAGGTGATCCTGTTACTATAGCAACTCTGTTTCTATGGCAATGTCTATTTTGTGTCTTTATTGTAAAAATTTACAGATGGGTAATTTATATGTGTCCAAGACCCAATATTTTTGTCTGACGCCATCCCAAACGCCTTGCTCTGCCCAAGTAGATATAGGCATTTCAATGTACTCGGTGCTTAATCCGAAGTCACGCAAGTCAATTTCAGACACTTCACAGTAAATGTCGTGAAAGAATTGATTTGTGGCTCCAAGACCGTTAAACCATGTATACACGCCATCGTGTTGAAGTATATTTGGCACACAATCATGAAAGGCTCTGAGATCTTCATAAAATTCACCATAAGTATCAAAGAAGATGCCATCAAAGGCAATATCTAACTTGGATACCATATCTTGCCATCGACCAAACAGAATCTTCACACCTGGCTTCTTATCCCATCCTAATTTGAGCATATGAGCATAGACATCAGGATGTGCTTCGATAATATAATGATTCTTGGGTTTATATTTCTGAAGTTCGGTATCAATCAACCCCAATCCAAAGCCTACATTGAGCACATTCAAACCTTCTTGGGGACACATCACCTTGGCATGTTCCACCATCAGTGGGCCTTCCCAGCCCATCATGACAGCGTCATTATTTTCATCCAAGAGTTTATTATCGTCATAGTGTAGTTTTTGCTGAAGATAAGCCTTGTTGGCTATGGCTCTTGCTACATCTTCTTCATCGTAATCGCCAAACGTCTTTTTTAATGCACGTATTAAAAGTTCTGAGCGAACACCTTCCTCTACCAGACGATCATAGATGGCCTTGTGCCCATTTTTGAGTGCTAGCTCGCCTGCTGTCACTTCTGATCTGTCGACAACGTTATAAGGGTGTTTTTCGGATAATAGCCAGTTGATCACGTCCAAGTGGCCATGTTCAGCAGCGTAATGAAGAGGTGTACGTCCAGTATCGGTTCCATTGAAGCATAGATCTGCACCTTGATCGTTTACAAGCGACTTGACTTTTTCCTTTTATTGTCATATATAATCAATATAAGTAAATAAAAAGAAAGAAGCTCCTTACTAGATCATTAGCAATGACAGCAGCGATCAACTCATTTCCAAGCTTAATATCTTCTTCAGTGTATGTAGTAGAATCAACTTGTTCTTCTATAGCTTCATTTTCTGTTACTTCAGAAGCATCGTTTTCAATCTTTTGTCTCTTTATTTCTTGTTGATCCATATTTGAGAGAAGAAAAAAAAATTCAAAGCGGCTTAAAAGGGGAATTACTCGCTGTCGGAATAAAATTAGTATGTTTACTGTTTAAAAGGACTCATAGTACAATATCAAATATCTTTTTCTTTTTTGTTACTATTCTCTCAACACTGGCTAATCTGACTTCAGTTGTGTATGGTAGAAGTCATATAATGCTAGGTTACCGAGTAACAGTTCCAGCTGGGAATTTCCAAATTGCAACACAGAGATCAGTTTACTGCATAGGCTCATATTAATACATGGCATGTCACTAATGAAGATTACCTATGGGAGGTAATATAGTGATTATTACCCCAAACTGCTTCATAATGATGCATATGAAGAAATCATTAAACTGTTGTTTCCTTTGGATTATCAGAGGCAAAGAAAAGCACGTCAAGTAAATATATTTTATTATTAAAGAACAAAAAGTCAAAGTGTGGGAGTAACAAAATGAAGTTTTTACTTAAATAAACAGTAGTTTGATATCCAAAGAGAGAGTGGTTTGGATAAGTAGAGATTTTTCTTTTGATAGCCAAGTGAAGAGAGCAAGCAGAGACTTTTTCTTTTTTTTTCTTTCCACAAGTCCAGAAAGCCACATTATCGCTAGCTTTCAAACCCAAGATGACTAGAACCATAGACTGCATGTCAGAAGACTACACGGTGTAAACCCTCCATGAATAAAAAGCACTCAAAGCTCAAGGCTCAAAAATCAATCTCAAAATCATACCACGATAAATTCAACGAAAGAGGCGCTTCAACGTACAAAGAGTGCACTTCTAAGTACCTAGGACGAAGCGTTTCGAAAGGGGTGATGACCGTGGAGACATCGGAATATTGAACCTTTGGAGCATCGCAATCATCGAGCTCAGTAATAAGGAGGGTTTACGGACCATTCATCAGCTGTAGAGGCAGAGCCATAACAATAGAAGCATCTCGGAGTGATCCAGCGTAGCGAAGCAGTGACCTATAGCAGAGCTTGATAGAGTTTGGTAGATAATGGCAAAGTAGATTGATTGATTATATTTCTTGTGACTTCAGGACTTGAATATGTAGTTACTCCAGAGCAGTATTCATTACCAGCAGACACTGATAGACATGAGCAAAATTCTTTAGGGGCTTTCCGACGTTGATAAGCATGGACAGGCATTCACTAGCATTTTCAGGCACTGATAATCATTTGTAGGTATTGATAAGCATTTGATTATTTGAGTGCATCGATAAGTAGTAGCAAAGCATTTTTTGAGCATTAGCGAGTAGTAGAGATTTCTTTAAGGCTTCACCCCGTGAGTGGCCATAATGATAGAGTAAGATGCATCAGAAACCATGAAATAGAGCCAGCAAAAGTGTATTTTTTAAACGATGGCATTAGTTATATGTACTTTGAGATCACCCCAAATGATATTGTACTTTTTCAATATAGGAAATAATAAAAGCATAAGAGAATTTTTAAAAGAGATAAAGAATGAAAAGAAGACAAGAATGATGGTTTCTTTTATAGTGTTCTGTTTACGTGAGTTATGTTATTTAGGCTGAGAATATATAGCTCATTCCTCCTTTTTCTCAATCTATCTTTTTCTAGTAATTCATAAATAAATAACTCATTCTCTGTTTTTTCCATATTAGAGCAAATCCGAGCAGCTCTTTTTTTTTTTTTGTTTGGAATATGGAATATTCTCTTGTATCCCTTTTTTTTTTGTTTTGTTTACTTTGCATAATTTTCACGCCTCCCTTTTCTTTTAAGGCCACTTGTTTACATAAAGTTGATCTCACATACATATAATTGCTTCACTTTTCTTATTTCCAATGTATGCTTTTTATTTTTCTGGTTGTTTTCTTTAAGAATGAGTAAAAAAGGGAAAAAAAAGTAAGGTGAGAATTAAATGTACAAGGAAAAATGTTGAGAGGGGACGGCATCTTTAAAAATGCAGCTGATAGTAAACAAAAAAATAAGACTTTTCTCAAAGAGCACTAGACTGTCGATTCTATGGAACATACGCAATAAATTCCATTACAGTTGTTATTTACAAATCAAAAGAATTCAGACATTATCATTTATTTGGTTAGCCATTATGATTTTTTGTTAAAGAGTACCAAAATCAAATTACCTTAACCTTCATGTATCAAAACTTGTTTATCAAGTATGAAACGAAAGCGATTAAGTTGCTGGCTTATGAAAACATAAAAGCGTGTAATGTTTTTGTTTTTATTTTTATTTTTAATGCACATGAAAGAAGGTAAAAAGTAAAATGTTTATCCTCTATTCCCTATTGCTATATCCTTATTTTTTCCCCTTCTGTTTGTGAAATGTGGACTAGCATTGACGACGATTGTGATTGTGATATAATTAATGATTATACGCTCATTTTTATGGTAAAGCAATGGATCTTCTAAGTCTGCATAAACTATTTCAAATGGCGCTCGAAACAGGATGGGTTGCTAAGGTATGCGACATACTTCGGATAGTCTCCTTACTGTCATGGATTCTCGCATATCTTGAATGAGAGGTATTATCAAATATGTAATTTATTGGGCAATGAGAAAGGATTTTTTATAACCATGAAAAAGAATATGAATACATAAATGTATGAATTGGATAAAAATAAGCTTTATATGGAGATAAAATAGTAGAAAATAACTCAATAAGCCTTAGAGAGGAGCAATATGATGACAGATCAGTTTATCATTGTAGTGATGAATTCTGTCATTTAGTTGATCAAGTATAGCCTTTACTCTGTCGCTCCCTATAGCTAATATTGCCAAAAATACTTTACTTATAAACATAACAGTGCATGTATTTGGTATTCGCTTTATTCATAATCAAGTTTAATGTTGGCTTACTTCAGTAAAGGGAAAGGTGTTCTAATCGAAAGTTCAATCTTGTTTTATTTTTATTTTTTAGTTGAAGACCTTTTTCTGATTTGGTGGACGAAATAAACTCAAACTCAGCTGCCGCCTTGGGTCAAAGCTATTTTTTTCAATTTGGATGAACCATCCTATGGATACCCATGTTTAGCCATACTAGGAGTTGACGTCTTGGCTGACATCACAGTGGTAAATCCAGCTATCCACCTGTGGGTGTTACGGCGTATAGCCAATTCTATATTGTCTTTGCATTTAATTCAACACCAGTTCCATTGTTCATTTAATTGACAGATTGTTAAACGTGTTGGATCTAAAAGCATAAATATCATAATTTATCATTTAAATAAAAAGGACCTTTCTTTACTGTAAGAAGATTCTACCTAAATTAAAAAACACTAGAAGTTCGAATCACTTCTATTTACATTTCACATAAGAAAATATCTTGTTATTTTCTTCTCCGGCGCTCATGGTCTCTTTGTTATATTACTACTAACAGCAAGATTCGTCTCCAAAACGTCCTGAAAATTAAATAGTCTACTGCTGATGAAAAATTGGACTACTGGCGCAGAGTTGTCACCTTGATTCAAAGCTCTCAAACCATAAGAAGGTGGACCACTTAGATTCCATGGCACTATTCACACTGATGACGTTGATATCACGACTCTTAAGAAAAGGTTTGACAGGCGAACAAGATGCACGACAAAGTTCACAATGGATCACGAAGCTACCTCCTACATTACCAATCTATTTCGTCGAAATCTCCAAAAAAAAAATTTCTGGTAGATGCGTTGCCGAGGGCCCAGGGAGAACAGATATGTTGTATTGTGTACACAAAAACTTCACACCAGAACGGCCAGTGCAATTTCGGCACACTAAATAACAGCAAGACAAGACGTGGAAAACCAAAAAGTACCGTCGACTCTTGCAAGGTCTCAAAGCCTAGGACCCTGATGTCATTCAAGCTAAGCAAGCCCTTTCTCAACAGCCAATCAGCAACGTATCCGTAGAATACTTTGACCACTTCCTTTAAGCCAGGTCTGAATAATTTGTCGTTTTCAGTGAATCCTGTGGACATCCCATTGCAAACCATAATAACAGATAATCTCTCTTTCGCAAGATCCGTCTTTCAGCGTACTTCAACAAACAATGTGCCGATCAACAGCTTATTCAAGACTTATACCCTCAAGTTTGGAGAAGGCGTCGTGTTTGTAATGGGGAACTGGCCCGTTCCCTATGCTAGCTACCATGAGCCTATCCATGTCCATGGTTTTCGAAGGCTCCTCAAGAAACATGGGCTCCAAGTCTATCTTATAAACGAGTACAAGACTAGTAGGTGCTGTTCAACATGCCACAACGAAAGCCTCCGCACGTTCCGTCGTGTTTCAAATCCACGACTGTGTCAACATGAGTGATATCCTGCTGTTGTCTGCCATGGCCTTTTAAGATAATAGTACATGAACCACTTGTATGACTTTATACTGATTGAACATTGCTTGTAGATGTACCAATCTATACTATAGACCCACCATGGCAGCTCCAGATAGATATCGCTTATGGAACAAGGATGTCGCTGCTTGTCTCAACTATTTGCACATCCTTCGTGGGCTCCGACGTAATGGCATGGTTCCTCATAGGTTTCGCCGGGTTGCTGTTGCTCCTACAAGATGTCGAAGAAGAGTGGACGATCAGGAGCAACCAAGAACTAGAATACGCTTAGACGATGATTTTCCGTCCTAGTTATCGCTAGGATACATCTAGATGCCTTCAGGATAAGTTGTATACACATAATAATTTTCTTACATAACTAACTGTATAATTCTTTAAATTCTCTCCTTGGTAAATATTACTCTCATTTGTATATCGTCTGTTATTCGTCTCCTTTTGCACGCATTTTTTTTTTCTTTAGGTCTTCTTCGTTATTATTTTCGTCTTTTTCGCCGTTGTTGTCTCTTAGTCGTTTTTTAATTTCAAGCTAATCTTTCTCGTACCAACTGTATGCAGTTCTACGAGGAATATTCAACAGTTTCGCTGCTTTTCCTGCTGTTAAACCTTTTTCATAAACTTGAAAAAAAAAAAAAAGATATCGCCTTGGCACTGTCACCGTGGTGTTTTTTGGTAGCAATTTCACCTTTATTTGTAGATGCGGAACTCTCAACCTTGACTACCTTCGGTTTCGTGGGCTTTTCAGATGGCTTCAATTCGGAATGTGTATTGAAACCTGTGATGTTATCCAAAGGGTGCGCCTTTTCATCTACCTGCGTTTGCACGCACTCATTACCATCTTCATCCATGGCATTGCCCTTTCCATCTTCGAAAAAAATATGAAATGGCATTTTGGCAAACGTCCGTTGCACTCAAAAATGCAATCAAAATTAGGCTAGTGCTTCGGGCGCTTCCTTGGGGCGCTACCTGTGTTGTCACTCTACAACTTCACACTACCATAGTCTCTACCTAACCTAAGGCTGTCCAGTTCACTCTCTTTGATACAAAATGTGAATGTATCATAATTATAAATGATTGATCTTAGTTCTTTGTTGATAGATTGACAACATAAAACTAGAATAAAAAATAACAAACTTTCTTTTTTATCTCTTTCTTCTTGAAAAGAGATAATTCAAGATGGTAACTTCATAAACTCATGTTTAGCTTGACGCTACACATTGAAAAGCTTTGTTGGGTGGCATCATAGGTAGTGGGTAGAGGTAGCGCCCGTAGCATTAACCTATTTTTGGGTGCATTCTTGAGTACACCAAGTGTTTACCGACATTTTTAATACTTAAAGGGTAAACATAAATAGTTTTTTTTTTGTTTTTTTGTTTAAACATGATATTTTTATTGATGGTCCAATTGAGCGCATAGTCAATTATGCCAAGCCGTACTTCTTGTTGTAAGCAATATAGTCGATTAGTTAGATCGGCGATGCTCCTTGACAGCCTTTTAGCGATGCGTGTATGGTTTGGAATGATGGCGAATCTCGGTTCAAGTTTGTATCATTCGCTGCGCAACATGAGCTTACATAAACTTCTTGACATTTCAACCGAAAGTGCAACTTGTCGACCATTAGCTGCAGTAAGTGGGACCGAAACACATCAATTTCCTTAGCTACTGATTTTCGTGCATAGCCAATGCCAACAACATCAGAGCTGGTGGCATCCTTGTTGCTTTCTACATTGTCGCAGTCGTCGTCACTATTATTCGTGTTACCAGCACCATCTTCAATGATGTCGTATATTGATGTCTTGATTGGTGAAAGAATGGATGTTAAAGGATAAGTCAAAAATGCATATGGATCTCGTTCATTATGTTTTTTATACGATAGTTCTTGAATCTTTCTATATATGTTGTAAACATCTTCTGAATGGACAAACTGATCACGGTGTACAGCATATACTGAAGAGGATGACGAACTGGCAGCTTCAGAGAAAAGATCTCTTATCCTTTCATTAAAATGACAATGGATTGCAGCTCTTATGTCTCTTCTACCATAGTCTTCACGTAACTCTTGCAATATAACTTCCTTCGTATTATCCGATAAAGGCAAAAAAGAGATATCATCAAGGCTTCCAATAAGATGATTATGCTCATTATGAAGCTTAATGGTGACCTGATTAGGGGTTACGAAATAGCAGGTGACAGTGATATAGCATCTGCAACCGATCTTCTTGCTTGGTTTCTGAATTGGCTGGCTTTTAGATGATTCATCTTCTGCCTGTACACCAGCACGACTCTTATAGGCCTCAGATCAATGGCATATGCACTTAATTTTCCAAATGATGCTTCTTCTTATTACGCGCTTTGGCATAGGTTGGCCTTCTTCGTTAAAAGTAGACATATCACCATTTGACTTGCTCTTATAAATCCAACATACTGCATGATGAGCAGGTGAGTTTTCAATGATATTTTTCCAAGAGTCAATATTAACAGTAATTTCTCTAGGAAAGGATATGTATTGTTTTAAAACTAAGTTCTCAGACATGATTACTATTCTTTAATAAAAGGGGAATAAGTGGAGGAAAAAGCTAAAGAGAATTAAAGCAGAATTAATGATCAAACATCAAAGAATAAATAGTCACTTTAAGAATTTAAAGTTCAAAATCGAAGATGTGACGGTTGCGTCATCAGGAAACTTGCTTGGACGCGTATGTCTGTTACGCCAAAGTGAACCTTTTTTATTTTTCTATACGTTATTTCTCTTTCTTTTTAAACAACACATTACGATGGCTGATAGATACAGTTTCTCACTCACAACATTTTCTCCTTCGGGAAAGCTTGTACAAATCGAATACGCTTTAAATGCTGTTTCTGGAGGTGTTACTAGCGTAGGCATTAAAGGTAATTAAACAAATCCAAGTTTGTTATATAAACTCATATTTATCATAAAACTACAGCTACTAATGGCATTGTTATTGCCACTGAGAAGAAATCAGCATCAAGTCTTGTAGATGATTCGGCCGTGCACAAGATCGAAACAATCTGTGCTAATATCGGAATGGTCTACTCTGGTATGGGACCTGATTTCCGTGTGTTGGTTAGTAAAGCACGTAAAGCAGCACAAGCATATAAAAGAGTTTACAATGAAGAGCCTCCAGTACGTATTCTTGTTCAAGAAGTAGCTGGTGTCATGCAAGAATATACTCAAAGCGGGTAAGGGAGAAAGAGAGAGAAAAGAAAGCATTCCTGTCCCACTTATAAATATCATTCATATAGTGGTGTTCGTCCATTTGGTGTTTCTATTTTGATTGCAGGATATGATGAGGTGAACGGACCAGCACTCTATCAAGTCGATCCTACTGGATCTTACTTTGCATGGAAAGCCAGTGCTATTGGCAAGAACATGATTAATGCAAAGACGTTCTTAGAAAAGAGATATAATGAAGAAATGGAACTGGAAGATGCGGTGCATACAGCTATCCTGACTGTAAGTAATAATGTCTTGTGTAATTAAAAGCTAATGTACTAAAAAAAAAAAATAGCTCAAGGAAGGATTTGAAGGACAGATGACAGAAAATAGCCTCGAAATCGGAATCATTGGTAAAAGCACTGTTGGTATTCATGGAGGAGAACGAAAGGAACTGCCATTATTCCGAAAACTGAGTTTAGGTGAAGTTAGAGATTATCTGGCGAATATTGCTTAAATAATAAAAAAAAAAAAAGGAGGAAGCAAGTTTACACAGAAAACCAGAAAAAAGTTGTCAGCTATGTTTCTTTCTTTTGTTTCTCCTTAAAAGCCACTTTAAAGCACATTGTGTCATTTGCTTAGTTTAGTAAAGAAGTATAGACAATGAGATTTAAAAAAAAAAAAAAAGAAGAAGGGGGACATATGAGAGGAGAAAGGGGAACGATGTGCAATAATACACAATCAAGCTTGAGTTTGGTCATAAGCTCCCTTTTTTGGTTTATGTTTTTTTTCTCTCTCTCCTTTTAACCCCCTTTTATATTTTATAGAAAAAGAAATATGTTGTTTCTTGACATCCCTTCTGTGTTTACAACTCACTTTGAATGGAAACTCATGATCCGAGTATCACACTATCGGGAGATGAAGCCGATCCCGATCATAATATAAATACCGTTTTTTATTCTTTTCTTCCTTCTCAGAATAAAATGAGCCGACGTGGATCTAAAGCGAGTTGGTAATATAAATACAAGTTATTTTGATACATCTAACACTCTATAAACAGTGATTCTCTTAATGCAGGATTGGCTGTAGATGATATAATAGATCGTCTAGTGTCAACAGAATATAATGAACAAGGTAATTATTTATATCGTTATTTTATTATTTATCTGATTTTTATGTAGATGAAAACATTGTGCCTATCTTTTTAACATTTTTCAGAAGGTTTATGAAACCTTGCGAACTTATTGATCAACTAGTTGAAAGGTAAATATTGAAGAGAAAGCAAAAGGGAGGAAATTAAGCTATGTTATTTTTTAATAATATAAAAAGTTTTTCCTAGATTCAAACATGATGGATTTTCATCCTCACCAACAGCTCAACAGAAAAGGTTCGATTTACCTTGTATAAAAGCGTGGGTCGTATAACTCTGTTTTTTAGAATCTACAATATTTTATTACTATGGCTATCTCATCATTGGAATGATTTTTATGCCCCAAGAGCAAGAAGATTAATGGTTCTCTTTTTGGATCACATATCCAAACACGAATCATATACGCCCATATGCGACTCATTAGCACCTTTAGTCATACGTGAACCACCCTCGACTGACCCCGACAGTTGCTGGGGCCTGGTGGATGAGGAGCAGCCGGTATTTTCGAATAAAAAAGACAGTGGATACGTCTCAGGCACATTTCATCTTTTACTACAACAGACACCCCCACAGTCACCTAGAGAGGATAGTGTCCCCAGGTTACCTAGACAACGTTACGTGTCACATTCTGAGTCTGAGGGATATCGCCGTGCCGAGTTTGCAGGTGGTATGATCAACATTGACGCAAGTAATACACCTTATGCTCCATCCACATTGACAAATGCAAGTAACTGGACGTCATATATTAGTATCATGAATAATTTTCGTAAACAAGATCAGCTCAACCTGAAGACGATCATGGGAACTAGTGATAACCACATTGCCAAGCAGTTGACTTGGATAGAATCACAGCTCTTTTCGCGTATCCAGGTAATAGCCAAGAATATCCCTTCTTTAACATGATGTTTATCTCTTTATTTCTGTATCTCTTGACAGCCTCGTGAATTTTTACGTTACATCGTGTCCAATCAGTCATCATCAAACAGTAGCATGATACTTGCATCTATCGCCCATTTTAATTTCATCTCTTCTTGGGTGGCAACATTAATCATCAGTCAGTCAAGAGCAAGTAAACGAGCAAACGTCTTTCTCAAGTTTATATCTATCGCGGTCGAGCTTCGTAATATGAATAACTATAATTCACTTATGGCTGTCTTGGCAGGGATGAACAACGCAGCCATATTAAGGCTAAAGCAGACACGTCAAATTGCAGCCACCAAAAAGATTTACAAACAATTTCTAAGCCTAGAACGTTTAATGAGCACAGATAAATCATTTTGCGCGTACCGCATGGCACTCAGGGCCAGCAAGGGGTCCGGTATTCCCTATTTGTAAATTATATACCTTATAGGAAATGAACGTACACTGACATATTTTTAGGGGTATTCATACTCAGGACCTTGTTTCCCTTGCCGAAGCAAACAAAGATTTTCGATCGGATGGTACAGTTCATTGGGATAAATATAGACTGATGGGTGAGACGATCATGTCTATTATAAAATTCAAACATCCAGGGTACACGATTGATCCAGATCTACCTCTACTTTTATCTATAGCAGATTGTCCTATCTTATCTGAAGATGTAAGCATATTGAATGAATGAAAAATCAGTTTGATGTAAATACTTTGTATTTAGGAGCTGTACAAGAAATCAATACTAGTAGAGCCAAAAGCCAACACAAACTCAAATAACAGACTGAAAGAGCTCTGGTTAAGGCTAAAGTAAATTCTTGTTATTTTGTAATTATTTATTTATACTCTACACACATGTAAATTCTATTAATAAACAACGTCAACTGTGTACTTTATGTCAAATAAACGAATGTTTAGGCTAAAGAGAAATTTCAACATCCAAAAAAGGAAAACATTTGTGTCTTGATGTTACGCAAACACGGTTATGCATTTTAAGAAACATGTTTTGAAGTAGAGCAGAAAAAAGAAGTTCTAAGTATCCTTTCTTTTTTTTTTCTTTTTCTCTTCACTTAATAGAATGATTATACCAAGAGAACACATCATCCACTCAACGAATCCTTATGTACGCAAATGCTGTGGCTGTATTCATTTACGAATTGGAAATACTTTTTCATGTTTGATCTGGGCAGGACTATCACTCTATTTTGCCATTTTGTCATTTCAGACGAAGAGTCGTAAGAATACATTAGATAGAGATATTACATTTACTAAACTATACATGTAGCATTCTTTTCATATACAAGCGTACCTACAGCACTTTATATATTTGGAACGATTAACCTGGTCTTATTTGGTGTCTGTTTAGGAACACTATTTTGTTTATTTCTAGTAAATATTGAGTGTAGTTGATTATTTATTGTTAGCTAACCCACTAAAATTTCATTAGAGGTCAGAGAATGGTGTCAGAGCAGCTGCTTATATTATAGGCATTAATGTCTTCATATTATTGGTTGACGTGTTTATCAACACCATCTTGTTTATTGTTCAAAAAGGTACCTATGTCGAATGGTGCATAACAGCTGCTTCAAGCCCACTCAACAACCAATTACTCAGCGCTAGCCAAGGAGAACAACAGCAGTTCAACTTTGCTATAAAGGACTTTTACAACTGCAATCGTACCTGGGAAGACGAGCTCAAATTTACAATTTTATGTGCAGCATTAATTATTGTACTTTATGTAAGTCATACGCTTTTCTTTATGTCAGCTAGTTTTTCTAATCATTCTTGTATTAGTCATATTGGACTTTTTGTTTATTCTCGTATGCAATCAAGCTTCAAGTTAACACTAGAGCAGCTATGCTTAAATACTATCAGCAAGGTATGTTGCCTCAGGTTCCTATGATGATGCCTCATGTGAATAACGGGGATATCATTCTTTAAGCTTTTCAAAATAACAATAAAAACTTTATCAAATCTCGAGTATATTATCAATTCAAAATGTTTGACATTTTAGTGTATTTTGATTAGAAAGTTTAAGAGTGTACCTTTTCTCCGCGGGTCTGTCTCAACCTTTTACCCTTTTTTTTTTTTAAAAAAA